GATGACTTGGCTGGTGAAGCTTCTGATGATGAGAGTCTTTATGTTAGGGATGATTGTGAAGGGTTGTTAGTGGTAGATTGATAGTATTTGGAAGTGTTGTGGTTTGGTGGTTTATGTAAAAGAGGATATGTTTTGTTTGTTAAAACATATTTTAGCTTTAATAATATCAGTAATTATTTTTATTACAAATATTTGAAATAAATATTAAATTTTCAAAAATAAAACCAAATCGCAATTAATTTTCATAAAATTTCTGATATTAAAGAACATATTAATAACACGAAACATTTGCTATCTTTGTATACGTAAAATAAAAATAATTAGTTTTAATAACGGTTTTATAGTCTTATTATAAGTATTAACAATTGCATAGACAACACCGCTATTGTTGTTTATTTTAATATAGCATACGACTGTTCCGCTATCGAAAGTGTCGGATCTATTAAGACGGGCGATCTCAGAACGTTTTAAAGAGCGCTATGGTAGCGATCTCATAGCATTTAACGTCCGCTATTAAAACCTATATTTCTTGTAGTGAAAGTCTAGCTGGCTAGCTATGATTGAATGGCATTTAGTTTCCATCTTATTATTACTGACAATGATAAAAGTTAAAGAGTACTGACCCAAATATGACCCAAATAAGTTTTGATTGTGATTGACATTTTTTTATCATGACTTGTATGAGAAATTCTTTATTTCTGTTAAAAACAAGAAATGAAAACCAAAAGAGGGTTTGATCGTGTGTAAACCAAGGCCATCAGAAATCAAATTTCAAGGAAATGTTTATATGTCTCCATACGATTCTCTTTTTGGCTGAGGTTATAACTTATAAGTTATAAATATATATGAAGTACAAAGACGGAAATTTACAGGGATATATACGTATAAGTAGATCAACTGGAGGAATGATGGTAACCATCCAAAACACATGAATCAATAATAACTCAATGGGTACGTTGATCGTTACGTTCTAATCTACTATATATTAACCAAGAAGAATTATAACATGTTTTGGTAGCCATATGTCATCATAAAAATGTTTATCAAATTTATTAAAGAAAAATATTAGTTCATATAAACATATAACATAATTTTTATTAAACTAAACATAAAACTATTATTAATGCTAATCATTAATTATTTAAATAAAATTTTACGAAACTACCTAATATGGTTATAATATATATATATATATGATAATTAATGATTTGAATATAAAAGATTTGATAAAAAAATGAATAGCCTCTACTCTTTTTGTTAAATTTATATTCTAAAAATAAATTAAACAATAACATTAACTATATAACAAAAAAATAGATTTTTTTTATATAGGTTATATTTTGAATTTTTAAAAATGACTATAAATTAATAAAAAAATTTAAAATTTCACATATAATATTTTTGATTAATAGTATAAATTATTTTTATAGCACGATACAAACAATTATATAATTAATGAGTAAGAAATATCATTGATAGATATTTAAATTAGATGTGTATATATATATATATATATTTAGTGATGTTTAAATTAAACTAAATACTATTTAAAAATACATAAATATTTAATTCCAAAATTGCATTGAACAAGTATTGAAAACTTAATACTTTAATGACAAACTTTGAATTTAATTTATTAAATGATGATCAGTTATTTTAAATATTAGAATTTCTCACATTAAAAATGATGTTATCAATAGTTTAAAATTTTTATTATAAAAATATACAAATGATCATAAAACCATGCAAGTGTGAAGCTTCATTTATTAGATATCTAAATTAAAAGTATAATATATATATATATATATATATATATATGTTAATATCATTTATTAATTAGATTTACTTATATAAAGTGAATGTAAATTAAAAAAATATGATTATTTTATTCAAGTGTTCCCTAAATTAATTGTATATATAACAGTTACAGATTTTTCAATTATTCAATATATATATTCATTATTTTCTAATATATAAAAGAACACAAAATAAAGAATAAGACATAAAATAATTTTTATATATAATTATCATCCACGCAAATGGGCAGGATATTAACCTAGTAAAATATATATCACATGCAAGCATTAGCTCTGAAACATATTATACTTTATATGATTGCATTTGAACCATACATATCATACCACCTGCAAGACTCCTTAATCGAGCATACCGACCAGAAAGGTTATACATACATTTTTTCAAATTAAAACAAAAAGATGGACCAGCAGTTTTGTTAATTTAGAGACGCAGAGACGTATCAACGTCTTCGTATCGATCAGTCCCAACCACCTTCTTGTCGTCTTTGTTTGGCCAGTAATGACAAAAGCTAGGCTCTTCAATGGAATCAGAGGTGGAGTGGGGGCATAAGGAGAAGGAGAGGAGCTGCGGTGACGAGGATGTTTGAGAGCTTAGAGGTAGAAACTGGAAGAAGCCAAAACTCGCGGGTTGGTTGCTATATTGTAAGATTTTGTTGTCGTGGTGGTTAGGTTTAGGGTTAAGGAGCTCTCGCTCAGCTCTTAACTCTCGCGTTCTCTGAAGTTGTCTGAATCTTTCTTGAAGCAAGACGATTGAAGACTGGATTACCATTTGTTCCTTTCGGTCTCTTGCCATTGAACTCATGACGTATAAGGTAAAAAAAATAATGGTAACGAGTCGTGGAGATTATGTTGCTATAGAGTTTGAGACCATGTTACGTATGTTGTGTCTATTTATATATGGGGGGAAAAGATCGATATTTCTTGTTATTTAATCTGCATGAGAATATAATTAAGAAATATAGGGTTGTTGAATATTTCGATGAAATTCTGAAAGGACGAGAATCAGGAGTAAAGTAGGAAGAACACAAGAGGAAGAAGGCAAAAAGGACCATCTAAAAGGAGAATGTGTAATGTGTGAGTGGAGATTTGCATATTTGAATTTAATTTTTACGGCAACAAAAGAAAAAAAAAGTTGGCCAAAGTAGAAGATAGTTTGGAGGAAAATGACAAGAAGAATGTTTGAAGGGAAGCATATGGATTTTGTTTGGATGATCATTGAGTTATATAAACCCCCTTTATTCATGCATCCCACTTACCTCCCCCTAAGAGCTATTTTTTCTAATGGAAACTATTACTTCCAACAAAACTATATATGTTATGTGCTTGAACTTAAACTAGGTTATATATACTCCCTCTCTTTCATAAAAAAATATTGTTCTAACATTATTAGTTTTGTTTCAAACTAGTGTCATCGTACAATTTCAATCGTACAATTTCAATGCAATTTTTCATATATAATATCTTTCTTCCTCTTTGAAACAACCAATAAACTTTATTTAAATTATTTTTATTGTTATTCTACATTAAATGGGGGTATATTATAGTATATTTTAATTATAACTTTCTTAATCTGCATGAAAATGTGTTTAAGTGACACTTTTAAAGAAATATAAGGAGTATAATTTTCTAGTTAATGGTTGATTAATCATCCTATACATAATATTTCCAATCGTGGATTATCAAAGCGAATACAAAAAAGTAACATTGCATATGTAACGTAAGAGGAGAATACCATCAATAATAAGGAGACTGACTAAAAGCTTATATATATATATATATATATATATAAGAAACAAAAATGAGATATACTACGAACTATATATATATAACTCCCTTTTCTTATATATCTTGTGTATTTAAGAAACAAAAATGAGATATACTATTCTTGGGGGAGAGTGAATACGAAAAGGGAGTGAGTGACAAAAGGGTTTATGAGAGATTTTGGTGCCTTGGGAGATGGTGAAATGGAGCCACTTCTTTGTCTTTAAATCAAATCTTCTCGGTGGAATTTAAAGTTATATTCTTGGCATATAGTTTAAACTGAAACACATTCTCAAGAGGAGTGTCAAAAGTTGTTAGTGGTTTCTCTAAATTAGTTAATCCACTTTTATGGTTTAACTTCTTATGATTTGTCAAGTAGTGTACTGGAACAAAAAAAAAAGACAAAACGAGTCCAAGAGTACAGAATAATAATATCAGCATATAATATGATGTGTGTTTAAATTAATATTTTTACTCAAAAAAACATTCCCTCTCGATCTCCTCGTTTTATCTCTCGATAGAAATGCTAACCTAAGTTCCCTTCCCATACATGACGAAAAACATCGGGAAAATCGCATAAAAAACCTTCAAGTTAGCAACCACTTACACTTTAAACCCTAAGAGTATTTTACAAGCACTTTAAACACTCAAGTTGGCAAATTTAGCATATTAAACCTCCAATCTGGCTTGCTTGTACATCAAGTTAAAAATGTGACCGGTACTGTTCAAAAGCGATGACGTGTCGGTCTTTTTAAAAAAAAAAAAAAATTTTACGAAAAAATAAATATAAAAATACAAAAAAATATAAAACTCATTAAAATCATTAAAAATTGTTTAAAAATTGAAAAATCAGAAAAAAATCAAAAAATCAGAAAAATCATAAACATTAAAAAATCGCAAAATAATTAAAATATTTTATTAATAAAATATTAAAAATAAGAAAAACTTAAAAGAAATTATAAAAAAATCCCAAAATAAGAAAATTCAAATTTTTTTTTAAAAAAATGAAATTTAAATAAAATTAATATAAGAATAATAGATAAAATAAATATAATTTCAAGTATAAATAATTTTATTTGTTTTATAAAAAAACGAGAAAACACTATATATATATTTTTTTAAAAAGAATCATTATCTTCAAATGATTCTCGTGAACCAAATCAAAACAAACAAATTAAATTCCAAGTCATTTTGTTCTCATTTTGTTGCTTATTAGTCAAGGTTTTCTGGATTTTATAACTAGATTAATATAGGGTATTTTAATAACTGCTAAAAGATTTGGATTTTAACTTGTTTCCTTTGATTTGGTTCACAAGAATCATTTGATGGTATATATCATATACATTCAATTATACGATGACATATNAGTCAAGGTTTTCTGGATTTTATAACTAGATTAATATAGGGTATTTTAATAACTGCTAAAAGATTTGGATTTTAACTTGTTTCCTTTGATTTGGTTCACAAGAATCATTTGATGGTATATATCATATACATTCAATTATACGATGACATATATATAATATATAATAGTGACACGAAAAACAAATAACAATATAATTTTTTTTAAAAAACTTATGCAGGTGAAAGTCTAGGTGCTAAAAGACTTGGAATTTAATTTGTTGATTTGATTTGGTTCACGAGAATCATTTGAAGATAATTAGATTATTGGGAAAATCGCATAAAAATCCTTGGAATTTAATTTGTTTGCTTTGATTTGGTTCACGAGAATCATTTGAAGATAATGATTCTTTTTTAAAAAAAAGTATAGTGTTTTCTCGTGTTTTTATAAAACAAATAAAATTATTTATTCTTGAAATATAGTTATTTTATCTATTATTCTTATATTAATTTTAGTTAAATTTCATTTTTGTTTTATTTATTTTTTTTTGAATTTTATTATTTTGGGATTTTTTTTATAATTTCTTTTAATTATTTTGCGATTTTTTAATGTTTATGATTTTTCTGATTTTTTTGATTTTTTTCTGATTTTTAAAGAATTTTTAATGATTTTTAATGAATTTTTCTATTTTTGTATTTTTATATTTATTTTTTCGTAAATTTTTTTTTTAAAAAAAAAAAAACCGACACGTCATCGCTTTTGAACAGTACCGGTCACATTTTTAACTTGATGTACAAGTAAGCCAGATTGGAGGTTTAATATGCTAAATTTGCCAACTTGAGTGTTTAAAGTGCTTGTAAAATACTTTCAGGGTTTAAAGTGTAAGTGGTTGTCACCTTGAAGGTTTTTTATGCGATTTTCCCGAAAAACATCCATGCATGTTCAATATTTATATACTCAAGAGTTAATCTTGATATTTTAAGAACAAAAAACTTAGGTTCATTCATATAGTGAACCTTTAAATTTACCTCATCTCTAATAACCACACATTTTGTCATATACATTAATGAATGAGATTTATTAAATTTTTTTAAAATAGTAAAAATAACTACAAAAAATAAAAAAATAATGCTAATTTTAAAGACGTTAACGTCGCTAGCTAAACTCTAAAATCCAAACCATAATCCTAAACCAAAATTTATACCCTAAACCAAAATTTATACCCTAAACACAAACCCTAGACCCTAAAACCCAAACCTAGATCCTAAATCCGAACCCCATACCCAAAATCTAAATTATATACCCAAAACTTAAACCCTAGATCCTAAACTCTAAACCCTAAACTTTAGACCCTAAATCTTAAACCCAAACTTTAAACTCTGAATTCAAACCCTAGAATCTAAATCCAAGCTCTAGATCATAAATCATTAATCCAAACCGTAAATTCTAAATTCAAACCTTAAATCCTAACATTAAACTCTAAGGAACAATATCAACATTAATCCAAATATTTAGGATATAATATTTGAGTTTAGGATTTACAGCTTAGCTTTGAATTTAAGGTATAGGGTTTGGGTTTATGGTTTTAGGATCTAAAATTTAGGTTTAGGATTTAGGGTCTAGGATTTACGGTTTAGATTTTAGGGTTTAGGGTTTGGATTTAGGGTATAAATTTTTGGTTTATGATCTAGCATTTAGGTTTTAGGGTATATAATTTGGATTTATGGTATATAATTTGGGTTTAGGGTTTTGGTTTGGGTTTTAGGGTATAGGTTTTGGGTTTAAGGTTTAGAGTTTAGGGTTTAGATAGGGTTTAGGGTTACAGTTTAGATTTAGGGTTTAACTGGCGGTGTTAGCATTAGGCCTGGGCAGATAATCCGAGAACCGAACAGCAGAATGAAAACCGGTCCGACAAAACTGGATTGGTTCGATTTCGGATCTTCTAAATAAACCAAACGGATCATGATTTTGTGGTATAATGGTGGTCGGTTCGGTGGAAAACCCGACATCCATTTGATTACATCCGACACCCGATGATCAAGACACAACCCTAGCCCATTGTGAGCCACCATTGTCTTTTACGTTGATTATATCCATCAAGATTTTACCAAGTCAGCTCATTGTCTTTTATCATTTAGTTTTTTTGTGTCTACTTTTTTACGTTGTATTTTGTAAATAATTTTTTTGGGTTTAGGTACAATCTATGATTGTAAACAATAAACATAGGTCTTTTATCAAGTTTTTTTAAGCAAACCGAGTACATATTAGTGCATCCATAACCGAATACCCGTTTAAGAACCGAAACCCGTAAATATTTTGGGTTTAATTGGTTTTAAAAAAAGTTACAAAATCCAAACCGAACCCGACGAAACTCGAATCGATATCGAACCGAAGTTTTATAATATCTGAATGGAGCTAATTTTTGTAAAACCGAAAACACGAAACCAAAATGGACCCTACCTGAAAACCCGATTGCCCATGCCTAGTTAGCATCGTTAAAATTTGACGTTATTTTTTTAAAGCTATTTTAATCTTTTTAAAAATATTTAGTAATTTTTATTCATTAATCTATGTGATATAATGTGTAGTTATTAGAGGTGAGCTGAATTTAAAGGTTCAACCTAGGGGTGAACCTAAGTTTTTTTCATATTTTAAGCTACAAAGCTAAACCAACTAAAAAAATTGCCATGAACATTTGG